AGAGCTGCCCCGTTGCACCCCTCATCCTTTTTATCGCAGGTAAAGAGCCGGGGGAGACTTTTTCAGCGTCTTTGAAAGTCTGCAGAGAAAGCTTTCCAATTTGGAACAGAACCAATTAAAAAAAATTAGTAACTTAGGGAAGGAGGGAGCTGGTTACTCGAAACATTTCCTTAGTTTCACACTTTTAAAAAAACCCAGTGAAGTTCAAGCCAATCTCAAAACCAAATCGCATCAAGCCAGTCCTGCAGAAGGGTGTGCTTAGAAACTGTTGACTCCGGCCATGCCGAGTTCTTCGAAAGAGTTGGAAATAACTCGGTGAAAGGCAAGGACGTTGGTGGGTGATATCATTTATTGGACCGACTGCCCGGTTGGGATGAGTTTAGGCAAGGTTTTGAATGTAGTGCGTTGTTCTTTGGGTCTCGAAACGTTGTGAAATCAACCCGTGATGTCTATGTTGCTGAATCTGTTTTTTCTATGGGGGGAAAAATCCCTTCTTTTTTTTTTTGCTTTGCACGCCCATTGGTGAAATGCTGTTGCAGCCACGTGCAATTATCCTGTCTCGTGTAGACAAGAAAACACCCTGCAAGGCCTTGTCCCTACCAGAATAAATCTGCTAAAAATCCCGCCCCGTTTGCCACCGGGCTTTTCAGCATCATCAGTGGGATGCTACCAAAACAGGACAAAATGGTAGTACATCTCCCTATAGCGACACCGGGAAATTAGGGGGCTTGTGTAGCAGCATTGCCAACTCTTGCTGGGATTTTGGGGTTTTTTTTACTGAGTCTCTTTACAACTGAGCGTGTGTTTTCCCTTGAAGTGTCCAGCTCCTTGATTCAAATAAATACACGAAAAATCTCAGCTTCCATTTCAAAAAAATTAAAAAGTTTTGGCCTTTCTGGTGCAGAAAGCCACTTGAATAAGCAAACCCTAAACTTTCCAGCAGTGAAAGGCAAATAAAAATAACCTAGCATCATTTTCTTTTCTTTTTTTAACGTGGAGCCGACTCACAATTTTGGAGCACGTGGTGTTGGCGTTAGGGATGTGGATGTAGCCAGAGGAGAGAAGAAACTACGTCCAAACACGATGTGGTCACAAAAAACCTTTCCTATGCAAGGAGAAATGTTGGCATTTGTTAGGCAGGGGTTGGCCTGGGTGATTATTTAATAGTGCCTTCTAACCTAGATACCTTAAAAGAATATAATGAGTGCTGCATTTTCCCTCCAGCTTTGGTGGCAGTATAAAAAGTCTCTTCATGGACCGTCTTGATGGTATTGAAGCTTTGATTTAGCTGGGATGGTCTAGGTGGGACTGGTCCAGTGTGGAGGAGTGGGTTGGACTGGACGTGACCTCCCTTCCCACCCTCATTTTCTCAGTGCATACCCACGAGATATTTAGATCCTGATGAAGCAGCTTTAGCTGGTGGGGAAACCTCAGCAGAGGAGTTCATGAGCTGCGTGGTTTCCTGGGTGCCCTCTAAGGTGCAACCCTGCCCTGCCTTTTTATGAGCAAATGGAGAGGTCTTCCAGTCTACTATCACCCTGGCACGGAGGTGGGCACAGACCTCTGTGGCTCGCCACTGAAGGGTACCTGCTCCACCATGTCCCTCTTCCCTTTGGTGGGCATGGTGCACCGATGGTCTGTGATGTTTCCCCTCTTTATTCTTCTTCCTTCATCTTCCCACCCTATTTCCCAGGGCTCCTGTAGCGTGTGGGGAAGACTTCAAGCCAGCGACACCTGTCCCAGTTCCCGCTGATGGAGGAAGGTCTTTTTGAGCGAGCCCAGGGGAGGCTCATTAGCTGCCCTTGAGCAGAGCGAGCAGCTAGAAGAGACCGGGACGGCTCTGGGGCCGGTTGGCTGGTGCCCCTTCTTGATGATTTGAAGCTCGGTCTCTTTTTCCCGGAGCTTGGTGGTTTGGTTCGAGTGGCCGAAGGAGCCAAATTTTGGGCATTGAGCAGGAGAGGAGGTGAGTTGTGCTGGGGCGAACCCGTGGCCCTAATTGCGATGCATCTCCCAGGCTGGGAGCGAGAGCGAGCCACCGACTCTGTCCCAGTGGCTTCCCTGTGCAGCCATCGGGTCCACGGACCCTGCACCCCCACCGGGCTCATCCTCCTGACGGACACAAATTCCCACCGAACTCTTCCCACCTGGGAGTGACCTTATTTAATTGCTCTCAGTTGGGATTTTCACAAGGGCCTAGAGTTGGCCCCTGCCCTGCTGTCAAAGCCCCTTGTGTGGTGCAAAACCAGCTTCTCCTGTTGCGGCTGGTCTCTGGGGGAAGAAGCTGTCCTTCACTCGGCTCTAGGAGTTGCAAAAGGCTGTCGCATCCCCAGGCGTGGTTTGGGGTCCTGGCTGGTGAACCCCCCTGGGGAGAGGGCGGGGGGTGCACTGGCTCCGTCCCAGGTGAACTAATACCACATTTGGGGCACAGGAGGGATGCGTGACTGCTGTTTGCATTCAACCTGCTGCCTTTTGGTGATCAGGCTGGTTATCCAGTGGCCAGACTCCTACAGCCGAGTGAGACGTATCTCCCTGCCTCCGTTCTTCCTGCTTGAAATGGAGGGGAGGATGGCCGCCTGCTTCCCGGGGGAAAGTGTCCTGGGTGAAACCTTGCTTAGCTCCTTTGGTTAGCGGCATATCCTCAGGGGCTTGCTCCCACTCTTAAGAGTGTTTAAGCTCCTCACAAAGAGCTGGCTCAGCATCACGGGAGCAGTCCCCAACCTTGCACCAGTACTGCAGGCCATAACGCCTTGCAAAGAGCTGGCCCAGCATCACCGAGGCAGCCCCCCCAACCTTGCGCTCCCCCATCCCCATCAGCGTCACCCCATTTTAACGGAGGAGGAGGCCGCCGTGCAAAGTATTTCCAGAGAGGCTGGAAGGGGCAGGCTGCCCCAGGCCTGGTGCCCTTCCCAGAACAGGAGGATCTCCTGCTGAGATAATGAGCACAAGCATTAATGCTTTCTCGCATGCCTCCGTCTCTCCCAGCCCGTGGGGCAGCGCGACTTTGAGAGCAAGCGGAAATAGCTGCAATGAAAAAGCTCCGACCAGCCAAGAGGCCGCCCTACTGCGGCTGTAAATTTGTTTGGAGACGGGTTAGCCGGGCCAGGAGATGCCAGGATGTTTTTCTCCTCCCGTGCTACCGCAGGGCCGTTTTCTAGGGAGGCAAAGGGTGGCAGGAGAGGTTCTCCGACTGCCCTCCATGGAGAGCTGGCCGGTAACTCCCGTTACACCTAGGTTTGCAGGGTTTAAAGCCTGAAAGAAGGAGTCAGGGTTGCTTCTTGCAATGATTTCCTCCCTGTGTGCAAGTGGCACGGGGCACTAGCAGGACAGGCCTCAAGCGATCTCTTAACCTTGCTCTTCCCTGGACGCGATGGTGGCAGAGGACAGGATACGTCCATAACTAGGAGGCGGCTGGTGCAGTTTCCAATGGGACAAGCATCCTCCGGCCTTTTTTGCTCGAGCGATGTGGCCTGCACTGACAATGCCAGAGGAGGTTTGAGTCACTGCTTGAGCTGGGGTGCTGGGTTCGAATCCTCACTCCAGTGGTTCCCGTTGGAGAGGCTCAAGTCGGTAAAGCCTGGCAGGATTTTAAAGGAGCTAGGTGCTTGGCTCCTCCACTTGTATTTGCAGCTTGTTTCTGCTTCCAAGTGGGGGATTTTCACGGCTTCATCCTCATCCCCCCCCCATGCAAAATCAGCCTGGGGGGCAGGGATCTGGAGAGGAGAGCTTGCAGAGCCCTGTTGCTGCATGAGCGACCTGCCGGTGAGGCTCTGGCTCCAGGGATATAACGTGCTCGCCCGTGGCAGGCGAGGGGCACGCCCGGGGGCGGCTTGA